TGTTGGACCTCATGTCTCAGCCCTGGGCGGGGCATTAGAGTGGCATATTTGCTGAACAAAGTGACGTTGGAAGTCATGTTGGGCCTCATGTCTCAGCCCTGGGCGGGGGCGTTAGAGTGGCATATTGCGGCATATTTGCTGAACAAAGTGATGTTGGAAGTCACATTGGGCCTCATGATTGAAACCCTGCGTCCTCCAAAACCCTTCAGGCCGCAAACACCTAAAGTTGGCCAACCCAACTCCAAGTGTTCAGACCTTCAGCGATCCACTTCTTTTTCCCCACAAATCGACCTGACAGACAGGACGAAGTCTAATCCTGATGCCTGGCAGCCCTGCAGAAAACCCCGGTGCTTGTGGGATGATAAAATGACAGCGTGACAGCACAAACAATACAGTACAGAATCAGAATTCAGAATATAGAAGTAGACTAGACCTGTACCTTCCACAGTCTGCAGAGAAGCACAGAGGCCCACACAGATGACTCATGTGACCAAAGCACATTTGCTTCAGTCAGAGTCAGATTTGACAAACCCGAGCAAGCACTTCACTGTCGTCTTTCGACGTTTTGCTGCGCCCAGGATTTGTGTCGTGCTAGTGCTGCTACTGCTAGTGTCACTGCCAGCCTCATCGTCATTGTTGTCACTGCTACCACCCCCGGAAGCATCACAGCGGCTAGAGGTATGGTTAGTGTCACCACCATCACCGTCGGAGTTCTCAGGAAGCATAAAGGGCTTCAATGCAGGAACGTTCTCACAGACAGGCCTGAGTCAAAATTGAAAATGAAGCGCGAAAAAGTGAGCCAACCCAACTTGCAAATTCGACCATTGAGTCACTTCAATTGCTTGACCAGTAAACAGTGAACAGTAAACAGAAACTGTAAACCGTTTAACCTTCCGCTCTGAGTCCAAGCCAAACCTTCACCTTGAACCCTTGACCTGATTCGGAATCCTACACTTGCCCTGACAAAATGCTTGCGCCGGCGTGAACATACAAACTGACACAAACACCATACTGACCATACTGCACACCCATCGCTGGCCGGCTGATCTTGTGCAAACGTTTTTGAAAACGACCAAGGACCATAGCCCAAGCATAGCAGTGGAAAAATTTGCTAACTCAAGTGAAGCAGCTTGCAGCCATGGCCTAGAGGCAGCACATAGAGCATTACGCCACATACCACGGCGCCAACCACCGATGTGGTCATGGCATTCCCTGCGACTGTGGCAAAACATGAAAGCACACTGTCACGCCGTGGGACTGCAGGACACACAGACCCGGGCAAGGCCCGAACAAGGCAATGAAGAAAGGGTGTATGGTACGGTATGTATAAACTGCCGTTAACCAACAAAAAGATCCTGACAATCCTTCGTCACCTTGTAAATGGCAAAGAAACATTGAAACACTAGAGACTAGATCTGCATAGCCGCATAGCCGCATAGCATAGACAGACAAAAGAAATCGATTAGAATGAGACTACATACATAGATTTTCTGATTGATTGATTGATTGATTGACTGATTGATTGATCATTGATAATGACAACAATGATAACATCTGATCTCGTTTATCATAGCATCCAATCAATCCAATCGTAAAAACTCAATCAGACGCTCTCGTCTCTCTCCCTGTCCAATTTGTGCCTGCCAATTTGGTGAAGAAAGAGGGGTCCCTTTCGTCCCAACTGAACTCAGCCGGGTCAAAGCCTTGCCCAGCCATGAGCACCTGCAAAGAGAACAGACTCGAGTTGGGGAAGAAAGCGCCGGCGTTTCTATCATGAACTTGAAATGATGTCACGTCCGGTCTATGTCTGCACGTGTGTCCATCAAGTTCGAGTAAGGCTGACAGAAGGCAAATGTGAGAACGCACGCCCTTTGTGTTCGCAGCACGACCTTGACAAGTCGTGTTCATTTGTGGCTCCTGGCCCCTGATGTGATAGCTAAGCCAAGGGCCATGCATACCCCGAAGCACTGTTGTCAGTGCCGCAGGCCCTCAGCGGTAAGCACATCAGTCAGCCGCCGACAGGCAGCAGAAGTAGCCAAACAAAAAATGCCATTGGCCATTGCCCTTCAGACCATCCATGTCGGATTTGCATGATGGCGGCCGATGGCGGGCTCAGGACTCAAACTCAGGACTCATGTCGTTTTTTTGACTTTTTGGTCTTGTCACCCTGGCCCTCGCCCTTGTCCTTCTTGTCCTTCTTCTCATTCTTTTCCTTGTCCTTTTTTTTTTCCTTGGATTCTTTTGGGAGAACCCTCTTCTCAACGTCTTTGACATTGGCGGCCAATTTCTCCGGCAAAGAGTCACGACCCAAACCAAATAGTTTCTTAGACACCTTGTCAGCGTCCTCGACGTCACGCTTGGCTGCCGTTGGGTCCATCACCAGTGAAGTGTAAAGGATGTAGAGCTGGAGCTTCACTGTCTTCTGCTCTGCTTCTAGGATTCCCGTTCTCTCCTTCTCAGCCTGGGCAATGATTTCCTTCAAGGCCGGAACCTCTGTGACATGCTTGCCAGCGCCCTCAAGCTCCTTCACAAAATCCGCGGCAGCCATTCTCGCAGTCTTTGCCTGTGTCTGATCGTTCTCAACGTCAGGCGCGTTCTCTGGTGCGAAGATCCAGTCAATGTCTTTGACTGTCCAATCGGTCACGGCACGCTCTGCACCCTCGTACTTGGAGTTGAACTTCTCAAGCGGGTCCAGAGTGGACTGCGACATGTCTCTCAGAAGTTTGGTCATCCCACTGGAGAAGGCTTGTGTGTACTTTGACAGGTCCGCCTTGACTGTTTGAAAGACATCGCCTTCAATCTGTGCAGAGTCAATGGCTGAGTAGCTTGCCTCGGCAACACCAAGCTTGGCCACGAACTGGGAGAATTCCTGTGAGTCCTCAATGGCACTGATCTCCTGCTTCCAGTCCACAGCCAATGCATGTGCAAGAGAGTGCAACTGCTTTGGAAGGAATGGTTTGAGATTCTTGTTGTCCTTGAAGTGGCCATTTGTCCACGCCATCATCACATGTGAGGTGTGGGTTGTTTGGAGCCTCCCCAGCATCCCACAAACTGCAAACAGCAGCTTGCAAAGCGCCACGTCCACTTCTCCACCTGAATTGCCCTTGCTGGCTTCCTTGGCCGCCTCACATCCTGCAAGGCACCATTCGATGAAGTTGGCAACCTGTTCCACAGACGCAAGGTCAGGGCCAGCGCTCTCATTGCCTCCGCAGCTCCCAGCCTCATTTGCAGGAAGTTTGGCAACAGCTTCCGCCCACGCAGCCAATCCACGGAAAGCCCCAGTCACGGACGCCGGGTTATTGGCAACATCACTCTCGTACAAGCCTAGGGTTGCCACGGAGCTGGCCAAACATAAGCTGCCTCTCACTGACTGGTTGTTTACCATATGAAGTCAGTGAAGGCCACTTCTACCATGACTATAGACCAACTTGAATTGAACTAGCCGCCATCTAATCAAGCCCCAGCAGAGCCTGAATCAACAATTTTTTAATTATATTAAGTATTATAATTATAGTACTAGTACTAGTACTATATAAAGAGCATGATGGGCGTGGGTCCTGAATTCCTGAACATGTAACAGCCGAGATGGGCCAAGCAATGCCAAGCAACACCGCAAGAGGAACTCATCAGAGAGTAGGCCATCCTTGGCTGGAACCTTCCCAGGGTATGCATCTGCAGCAGCTTTGGAAATATCAGAGCCTTTGACTTCCTTAAGCTGCTCATTGCACCATTCTGAGATGGTGTTCATCTCAGCCACGAACTGAGGGCAAAGGTTCTTGCTGGCCCACTCTTTCAAGTCATTCTCTTGCAGGGTCAGTTCCTCAAGAGTCTTGCTGGCTTCCTCCTTATTGGAGACCTTGCCTGAAGACTGGTAAGTGCAGAGGCTCGTCCGCAGGTGGGTCACGGAGTTGAAAGATTTCAAGTCTTCTTTGAGCTTGGCAAGGGCATCCTTGGGCAAAGAGCTGGCGCTGCCGGCGGTTTTGGTGAACTCTTCAACCTTCTTAGCAGTATCCTTGCACGTTTTCATCACGGAAGTGGCAAGTGAGATGTCCTTGTGAAGGCTCAGAACCCTTTGCCAAAGATTCCTCCCAGAGAGAAAACAGAAATCAGAATGTAGAACCGAGTGTCACTATGATTTGCCGTGCCGTTTACCGCCGTTACACCGTTTAGATAATTAATAACACCTGTCACCTGTCTCAACAATATTGCAACACATCATGCAGCATGCTGCATGCTCCTGTCAATGAAAGGACTCAAGTGACCAATGACTGCCAATGACAAATGAGGGGCCCAAAGTTGTTTCTATACCAACACCGCATGCCACGCGACGTACTTTGAACTTTGTTACATCAACCACCTTTTGGGCCCTGCCCTGCCTGAACTCAGCCTGTCCCGACATGGGCATGACAACCTGACTGCTGAAGTGACTGGCTGCACCAGCCACACTCGAAAGATACGCCACCATCTCAGGCTCAAGCGGTCCATCTCCCAACTTGCGTAAGTACAAGCACGCGTAGACTCGCTGAAGATCCTTCATGACCACACAGCTGAACCCATTGGAACACTCGTAGTCTTTCATGTTCTGCACTGGGCCCTTTGTAGGTGGTGGATGCCTCGGGCCAGGATACAGCATCCGCACAGCTCAGGACATTGTGACTTTGGGTTGCTGGGGGCGCAAATTTGTGAACTGACGGCTTGGGAAATCAGGAAGGCCATGTTTGGCAATG